TAAGGTATCCACCTCCACCAGCGTACAGCAGCGTATGCCAGCGTCTCGAGCGGTTAGGAAAGTGTAGACGTCGGTTCAGTGTTTCGAGTATGAACCAGCGCTCATAAATGCTTTCCTACTTGCTCATGGGCTCTGGTGGACGGTAGCGTTCGCTAGATCGAAATCTATACTTTTCTGGTCGCTACCACTGAAGTACGCTCGAAACGCTGGACGCTGTTGAACGATGGTGGTTGCTGGTGGACGCTGACGCAAAGTATGAACGCAGCCTTCGAAGCCCATATTTTACGATCATTGCTGAGGTTGAGCAAAGGGTATGATAGCTGGGATTTTTTGAGTGTCACAAGCTAACAGCGTTCTATCTCTCATTACCACGTTTTATGTCCAAACGACCAGGAATTCTTTAGTTCGGTAGTTTTCTCAGACTGCAAATGCTCGAAGACATGTCTGGGCTGCGAAAGCTAGCAGACAGATCTCAAAAGGAATTCGTCAATCGTGTTAACGAACTCCGACAACGGTTCCTAATCGCTTGGGAGAACAATAAGAGAGTAGAGTCCATTGAGGTAACTTCAGAGCTTCAACCACTTCACTGTTCTTTTGAAACGTAATTTCCCAAAAAAAAATTACTACAGGTGATCACCACACTTGCACGTTTGCTCTCAGCACCGACTACTCCGTCGTTCTTTCCTATTCAGTGGATCCTCGTTACCGACATTATTGACTTGTTTGGTGACAATGTTTACGGTCGCTTGTTATCCAAGGCCAACGAGGTGATATTTGTGAAACTTTTCTGTATTTTTTGACGTATTTACTTGGTTTCAATCCTTTTTCTCTGCGAAAACCTGTACAGGAGAGGAAAGAGAGAGGAGATGGGCCGTTACCTTCGAATTTCGAATCAACTGTCGTGCCTCCTAATACTGTCGAAGTGGCGCAGAATTGGTTCAGCAAGGTTGATGATATAAAAGAGGTCGTGCCTCGTTTCTACGGTATGTTTTGAAAGCTACTACTCCTCATGAAGTATTTGATGCAGTTCGGAGTGGAAGGGGCAGGTTGCTTTTTCCCAGCATCTGCCTACCGATGCTTCAAGACATGTAAAGCTATGCACTAGCATGAGCATGTTTTATACTTGACAGGTGTCTACAGGTCTCAGCAAGGTGAGACATGCATAGTCTAGTTCGCTGCGGACGAAAGGCATGTTAGGCAGCGTTCAGACTTCGCTACGGCAGCGCTTCGGTCGCTCGTTCGACGCGATCAATCAATGCAGTCGAAAGAATGCACATCGACATGGCATCGCGTGTTCGAACGCGTCGACCAGGAAGCGCGTGCCGTACTGAACGGCTGCCTTAGGCGGGATCGACCTTGGGTCAGTTCTCCACCTGCACCGGTTGTTGCAGCGATTAAGTGACAATACTATATCATATCGTTCGTACTACTCGTTTTCTACCAGTGGTTGTTCCATCGCCGCTTCAACAATTGGCAGAGGACGGGTTTGGCATAATTGAACAAGATTCGTAAGGCACCGAAGCTCAGCGCAGATGGCTAAGAATACCTCTCTTAGTCCTTTGTTCTTGTCGGATTAATGCTCCAGGACACACTGTGCGCTGATCAATGTGCTAGCTTTTCGGTACTATCTGTCCCTCATCATTAATCAAGGACTAGTAAGTGTTTTACAGCACCAGTAGTCGCTTCAATCAACTTTTGGTCCGCACCTGTGTTCAAAAAAATCACATTGATATTGAATATGTCACTGGCTCAGGTATACCGCTAACGGTTCAATAATTCGTCGCTTTTAGTAGAAACAACCTTGATCGGATGCCAGCAGTTCTTAGACAGCACTTCGTTGAGAGCCAGTCTCCTTCGACTTGCTACCATGATTGAAGAACGTGAGTAATATCCGGTTGTTGAGGCGTTCCTCCAGTTGATCAAAAGCTAGTTTGAGAATTGATTTCTAGAGTTCCATATCTTTCCAGTCTTTATCACGCTGTCAATTTATGCTCGTGTAACATCTGTGAAGACAGCAATGATTTTTGGAGCCAGCTCAGACGAGGTTCCACATGGAATAGCCTAAATGACTTGATGCAGTCTTCTTAAGTCCACCGGTCGCTAATATTCGGCAAGTCGCTTGTTTTTTACTTGCCATGGGGTTGGAGAGGACCGGTAATTGCCTCTCACGTAACGCCCCACTTCTTATCGACGGCTCTTAGGTTAGGTATGAGCAAACGCTAGCAATGTTGTGTCCATTCTCTCCCAATTTCTTGCGGAACATCGTATAAAGTCGCGCTTGCACGATATTCCCAAGGACGTTAAGGAATCGAATACTCTAGCGAGGATAGAATTCCGCGAGACCCTGGACAGACCGCTAGCATTAGCGTTGTCCGAAAGAAGGGCTGCTCTTATAGGGCCCTATCAATGCCGACAATCAAGCCCCACAACTTTAGGTCCATACGTCCCGCCCCCACCGTGATCGAATGGACGACCGGGTTCCCTGGCCATGTTCGATATTTTCATTCATTTGGTAGCAATATTATGAAGCGAAGGGATTGAGTATGAAGCGGCGTTTGAGTTTGCTCTTGCATTGGATATATGAGTATCCACATATGCAGCTTGTATTCGTATGCGGGGGTTACTGGCCTAAGTGCGTAAGGTGGAAACTTTCTGGTCGTCGAAATCTCGTATTTCACCATTCACTTTGAGATACGTGAGGTTTTCTCTTGTCACAGGCGGTTCACTTCGTTCTTTTGCCATCTTCCCTACTATATAGCTCCTGCTAGCTTGGGGTTAGGAAACCATCGTTCGCCAACTACCCTTTTAAACGGCAACTTTAGGAGCGGGACGCTTATTTGGATTGCTTACATGAATTTTATTCCCTCGATTTTTTTTTCTATTTACGCCACTATATTCTCCTCCCTCCCTGTTTCCATAAATCGGGCCGCGGCCGCAGCTGAACTTTCCATTTTTATGCCAGTTGAACAGAAGCGTGTTTACCTCCGCTCAACCTTGTTTTACCCGATAATATAAGTCCGCACGTTCGAACTTTCCTGCTGAACATTGTAGAATACTGCGATATACGGGGACAGGCGTCTAATCGCAAATCCTTCGGCTATGATACAAGGTGGTAATGCATCTCACCTGGCCCAAACCTTCGAGAAATAGAGATCTGGTCATTCTCTGTCTCTAAAAATTCGCACCCTTTCGTCGATTCGCGGATTTCTCCACATTCTGCAAAATATTGAGAGCCTGCTCATTTCTTTGCGCCCTTTTTCGTCTCTCCTTTCTTGTCCCTTGTTTATTTATTTACACCAGCCAATTGAACCATACTTTGAGCTGCTTTGAAGTCTATCGGGAAATCAACTAACAAGATAATTTTGTATCGTTCAGACCGAATCTGTTACTCCTGCTCTGGAATGGATTGTCCAGTGCGTCTCGTATGGTGCTGCAACAATCGAAGATCTGGGACCGCTGTGGGAGTATTGCAGAAAGCCTGAAAAACACAGTTCACTTATTCATGCTTTTGTAATTGGAGTATCTCTCAAGTACCTCTTAAATCACTGTGCTGAATTCTGCGAACTTGTGAGTTGTTTCATAATCGTTCTGGAGAAAGGTTCAGTCACGAATGTTGTGGAACCGTGCGCTGCTTACAGATCGTCACTCAGTCCCTTCCTCCCGCAGATCTGGAAACTTTTGGGTCTCGATTGCTACAGGGCCAGCTAGAAGATGGTGTACCACCGAAAGTTCTGAGAGTAGGAATGGTTGAATACTTTTGAGCTCAGGTCATCTTATAGGTCTATGTTACAGTTTGGTGTGGCCATACATTTCACGCTTCGAAAAGGAAGATTACATGAAGTGTGGGGCCGATATGGAGTAAGTTCATCAGTCGGTAAGTTTCTCAACTATGAAATTTCCGGTGCTGATAATACGAGGCCATATAAAGGGCTCCTTAAGCAAAATTGGGACCAGCCCAACAAAAATTGGATTGTTGGACTCAAAACTGGTTCACCTATCCAGGAGCTCCCTGCCTCCCCTTCACCTTCCCCGGGCTTTAGTAAAACCCTTCGTCTTAGTTGTGGTGGTCCCATTTTTGCACAGGGATCTCTATACATGCCTCCTCCGCCAAGGTTGTTGGCATCGGATTTTCCAATATGCTATGAAACTTATGGCTTTCTTCAGGTATTTCACATTGGCAGAACTTTCTGATCTTTGTGAGGTTACACTGCAAAAGTTGTCCGCAATCAAGGTTAGCTTTCTTTTGTGTGTATGAATTATTGCATCAGTTGAGTGATCTCCATACTCATGAGGGAGGAAAGAAGCTCCGACGTTGTCTGTTCTGTTTCGGTATCCGCCGCGCATTCCAGTTCCATTCAGAATCGTGGTGATGACTTTGAAATGGGGTTTTGTCTATACGTTGACTGGGCAGTAAATGTACAAGGCAGCCTTTCCAATCTTCCCAGACAAGTCTGGTAAAAGAAAGTCGCCCTCGCAATGATGGAAAGCCTAGTTGGCGGGAGTGGGATCCGATCCGAGATTTTATACTGGACAGTGGTAATCGGCATCATTTGCCTGTACATACACTCCTTATCCCTGAGACGGAGTAGGCGTGGCTTTTGAGCATGGCATAGGACGGGTTTCTCGTGGGATACTTCAATTTGAAACAACTGCTATCTGTTCTGTGTTAGATGTAGACATGATTAAACAATGACTGCTTCGAAATGACACCTGGGTCCTCCGCCATTTTGAAATCAAGTAACGTCGCGATCCACGCCTACCCGATCTCGTGAATTCACATATATATAACACCACTTCCTTCGAGTCATGAATAACTTCAGGATCCGACCGAATTTTTCGAACGCATATCAACAATGGTCGAAAATATGTTAGAATATGGAGGCAACGACTTTCCTCATCTCTTGCTGAAATCAGAAATCATATTGTGTCGTTATTCTGACTACTAGGTGCTCTTCATTATTCTTCTGTTTTGCGTTGTCACAAATGCGACGGTCGTAGTTTAGAGATGAACCATATGGATCTCGATGTGCCAAAGCTTCTCTCACCGCCGTCATAAGGGTGTTTGAAGTCGGAAGCGTTGCGGATATGGAGATCAAATAACCATGTCCCACAAAATTTGGTTACTTTAGCTTTGTCGCAAATAGAGTATGTTTCTTTCAGATTGTCGAGCAATGCGGCCACCTGTGCCAGTCAATCACACCAGAGACCATCAGTGACGAGGTATTGACTTCGTTATTTTTCCTTTTTTCAACAACATTGAGTAGCCATTGATCTTTCCAATGTGATGAGGTATGCTAATTTTTGTAACCTTTGTAGGCAGAGAATTAAGAAAAACAAGCTTTTTCGCGAAAACCAGGGCGATAATCTCGTCTGAAGTGTTAGTAATACTCAGATTTATGCTACAGAATAGCGTTGACATTATCGGGGAGAGATTTCACTTCACTCGTCGTATATGAGTGAGGCAGCGTTCAGACTTCGCGTCGACGCCCTGTAAGGCGCTGTAACCCGCTTCGTTGCATTACAATTGCAACAGCGCTCCAACGCTAAAGACGCGAACGTAGTCCCAGAAGGGAACCCGCCGGAGCTGGTCGCCTGCGTTTGGAGTAAGGAAACTAGGAAGGTAGGGGGTGCCGTCACACAATCTGTTACCCTCCTATTTTCTACACTCTCTCGGAACAAGCTGTCGGCGCCAATCGATTCCTGTCTGCGGCTGCGTTCACGTCCATACATTGGAGCGCTGCTGCAATTACAGCGCGTCGAAGTGCGTCATCGCGAAGTCTGAACACTACTTTCGAAGTGGGTATCGCCTCGTCTATCGCGACAACTTCTTGACTCTGTTCTAATACGGCGCATCTTTTCCTCCTTGAATATTTTTCTGCTATCTCGACTTCTGGCTTACTGGTAAAGAAGATCACCGAAGCGTTGTAGGAGAAATTCCTTGGTACCGCTTTGCCTCACCTTTTCGTTCAGCGTACAGCTGTACAAGTTCAGATACGCGTGATAGATCGCCTGGTGTCGTCAGCGTTGGATCGCATATGGCTACCGAAAGAACCAGAAAGTTACATGGATATCCTCTGATGCACGCTCACTTCTCTACCAGAGCGATGGTTGCATGGCGGTATTTACCTAATTTGAGAAGATGTTGATTTCGTGTATAATTCTTGGTGATTGTTTAGTCATATCGTGATGCGTATTCATATTTCGGCTTCGATTTTATGGGCTATTCTACGGAATCCTCCAAAAGGAATTTATGAAGTTCGATCCGCATGACAAGTTATTTTCTCTGACTTTCAAAACTTTCTTATTCTTAGCCTTCTATATAGGGCTATTCTTGCTAATTGTACATACACAATACCACGATCATCGATCTCGAGCAATTTCGAGCTTTCACTCCCGTGCTTTGATTGATGTCTGTTAGCTATTTTCGCCTAAGATATTGTTCGTAGAAGTTCACTGTTAACGGAGCTTCAATTGAAGGCTGTGGTATGTAAGGCAGTTGGCAAGATATATCACCCATTGTATACTTGCGTGCTCCCTCACAGTCACAGTCAATACTTGCGGATTATTATCTCGTTAGGAGTGTGCACGGAAGCAGAAAACATGTGTGATCTGGTCTCCCGGAGCCCTCTCTGCCATCAACACTAGCCCTTTTAGATCTCAAGGGTACTTTATTTCAGATAGAACAGCAGGTTAAATTCACCTTGGAAACTCTCGATTCACTTACAGTGCCGTCAACTCAGTTCCATAGAATTGCTCACCCATCTTCTTTCTGTACTTGTTTTTGTTCCGGATATTCCAAAGAAGCCTATGCTGCACATGTTTAACGCGGTTATCAATCTTATCGAAAGGTTGGTGTCTGAGGATTTTGTACTTACAATAGCTGGTGTAGTACAGTACATCCGAGTAAAGTACAGTAAGCAACAGATCATTTTTCACTGCGGTTCTGCCACATTGAATCGTTTTGGTCGTGCTGCGGACAGCTCGCGCGCGACACGCCTCCTTCGCCATTCTGGTCGTGACTCGGATGTGTTGACCTGCACCTGACAACCAGATAACGTAGCTCAGTTGTTGCACCAGTTGGTTTCTTTTACGCCATTGATCGCACAGGAGGAAATGGCCTGCCGCTCACGAGACGCTTCACGGTGATGCATGGATTTTGTGTTTACACTACCTCTGGGCAGTGTCTCGGCCAAGCTTCCGGATGAGATTCGGCGACGTCGATTCGAATGATCTGTATTACGGGTCGAGTGAAACGTATCTGTAAGTGGAAAAACACTATATTTGATCTGAAATTCCCAATTCTCAATCACGTTATTCAGGAACAACCGTCGCAGAAAAGGTTGATCACGTTATGCAACAGGTCCTGGCACTGATTGAAGCACAGTCAGCTGCGAAGCCGGCAATTGCTATGAACTTGCTGGAATTTGCAGTAATGAGGCTCAGCATTGAAGGCTCGGTACGACGGCTTGTTTGAATTCTCTAGTTTTTCATCTGATGCCAGTAGGCGACATGTGAACACATTACGAAGAGTTGAGGACTAATGGGACTAAAGTCACTCGTAAAGGACGCCTGAGCCTGCTGTGTCATTGTCTTTTTAACGGGCACTGATTGTTGCTGACGTTTTTGTCGTGCGATTTGTTAGCATAATCACATGGTACTCACATTTTCCTCTTTTCACCCTTAATTGTTTGTAGTGCCCTCCTTTTCGGCCCTACACAGAGGCGTTTGGAGCATATTTAACCATGATTGCGCAGCCAGTGTCCTTTACCTCTCCTAGACGGTTCAGTAGCAACAATTTGGCCATAAAGGAACTGAAATTCCGTTTAGTTGTATGAGATTCGGCTCAAAGATAGCCTGGGGATGCTTCTATGTCCAGGTCAAAAGATCCCCAGTTCCGGCGACACTCGCGCTCCGGGGAACGATCAGGACTCCACATTGGTCGGGTTGTAGTCTTGTGGGAAATGCGTTCATCCTAATCTGCACCATCAGCCACTAGCTTGGTGCACGCAGCATTGACTCTCTCACTATTGCACTTTCGAGTCAAGTCATTCAGATCCTTGTGCGAATGCCGCGCGTGACACCATCTCAGGTGTCCTGACCCATATCCTGTGTCAATGCATTGAGTACATATTTTTGCAGTTGAGTACCGCTTGAAAACAGATGGTTCCTTGCGGTCCGTTGCTCAGCTAAATGGTGCTCCAGCTCCATTCGATAATTTGTCATTTTTTTTCTTTATTTTAAATGCTTGTTGCTGTTGCAATGTTCTGTTTAGGTGGTCAAGATGGTTACAAATTTGCTGAAGAGATGTGCTAAGAGTGGGCAATTCGCTTCTCGTGTGGCATATGTGATCGAAGATCTAACGAAGTTGTCTGAAGATAATGATGAGCTGAAACAAGCGCTCATTAAGATGAAGTTGTTATAGTCAGAAATAACCCGAACATTATCGCTTATAGAGATGTGATCTACTAGTACGTGTATTCTTGTGATTTGTTATGCTCGAATGTTGTTACTCTTTACGGTTGCTTATTTGAAATAAATGTTATCGAAATGCCATGAACGGATGTGAAACGTGGATTGAGGTCTTTCAATGCCTTATATTCCTGTATAACTATGAGCTCCACAAGAGCGGCATTACTCTGGAGAGCTCAATTTGGAACTAGCATTGAGATGGAAAAGGAGTTGATGAAGTTGCGGAGGGGCAGCCGACAAGCACACTAAGTCACGCTGTTTTACACTGGTTCCTCTCACAGGGATGGAGTTTAGTAGTGCTAGATTTTGGCTGGTGAAAGTGCCGTTCTATGATCTCCGCCCATTTTATAGCGTGAGGAACGGAAAAAATGTTCTAGAAATCCTCTACAGTCTTGTTCGCTGCAAGCGCTGGGGCGTTTCAGGGACCCCCCTGGGTTTGATGCCAGCGCGCAGGCCGGGCGTTGCTCCACCAGCTGGCGGAGCGGCTGGCCAGTCGTGGAACATTGAAGCTCGGGGGCCGCGTCAGACCCAGCCCTCCTCAGATGCTCCAGCATCCGCAGTAAAGGAGACTACATTTGCTGTAAAAATTCTTATCCGAAAGGGCCCCTCGCTCCTAAGTTCGTTTGAAGCTTTGATCACTCAAGAGGGAAATAGCTGGCGTTCATCCAACTGGGTTTCTACATGGGTCTACCAGACTGGACGTTGCCGGTTTGCACGAGTTCTGGCAGGGCTATGCTGTCGAGTGCGTTCATTCAGTCTCTGATTACCTAGCGAGCGATGAAATTCAGGATGTTCAGCGACGATGATGACTTTTCTGATGACATGCTGGAATTACCAGACTCTCCAAATTCATCGCCCGACCCAGTTCAGGAAAACGAGCAAGAGGAATTCCGTGACTTAGTTAAGAAGCGAGAAAGGATTGAGAAGAAAATGAACGATGTGGATGAACTCGCTAGACAGGTATGTGACCTGAGAGATGTGGAACATTACATCCATGTTACGGCCCCGCGCAAAAACTTGCATTATGTTACCTAGCTAGTTGACTTGACACAAAGGGTCACTTTCACGTTAAATCAATTGGGTAGTGGGACGAATGGCGTGCACATGACGGCAAATCGTAAGCCTGGCCGCAACATGGAACTGACATCTCATTCTTTTCTTATGAGATTCTGTTGGCTAACACGGGGCGTGAAATTACAGTCGTCATCCGGTGACTTGATTTGGGCGGCAAGGGACGCGACGCGGCTGCGGTGTGTTGCGAGCGCGGCGATCAGCTGTATTTTAGCCATTTTCTCCCTAGTTTACGCTGTTTGGCTGCTTTTCTCACGATTATTTTCTATTTTTTGACGTTAGTTGTTCTATCGTCTTTATGAAGTATATTAGGATGAGGAGTGTTTTTTTGTCTTGTTATAGAGTTTTTTGCGATTTTTTTCAGGTATTTGTTCAATTGTCTGCTTAACTGTTTAATTGTACGCAAAAACCAGAAGAATCTCAATCATAATTCACCTTGTGAAGACAAGAAACAACTAATCGTGAGAAAAGCAGCCAAAACAGCGTAAACTAGGGAGAAAATGGCTAAAATAGGCTGGAAACAGCTGATCGCCGCGCTCGCAACACACCGCAGCCGCGTCGCGTCCCTTGCCGCCCAAATCAAGTCACCGGATGACGACTGTACATTGTAGCCGTTTTTTGCAAGTATTGCAGGTGAAGTTTGCCCTGGAGCTACAAAAAGCAATGGCTGACTGCTATTCAAATCGTGTGTCATCATTTCCGGTTGAGACACTGATTGAGGTAAGTAAAAAATGACATTGTACTCAATTTTCGTATTTCACACAAAAATGACTACCTAGTAATCACGCGGTTGCAACGCGGTTCAGTGTGCATTCCGCGATTGCAAATCATTATTAGTAGTGCAGTTAAGATAGGGAAGAGCAATTGCTGAGTGATTCACTAAAAAAGAAGGAAGCAGAAGGACTCGTCGAAAATGGTCATCTGTAGGGCTGTCCGACGCAATTCGGCGCGGGGGCATTTTACACTTTCGCTGTTTCACTAGTTACGGTCCATGTCTCAGTCTAGTGAAACTGTGAACTTTTGTGAAGGTGGAGCAGTCGCGTCGAGCAACCATGTTGAAACCTGGTAAGCTCATGAAATAGCTAAATATGGGAAATAGCAAAAGTTCAAACCAAAATGGCCCCCATCGCCAGACTGCCGGGTTATCCCTTTTGCATTTGGTTCTGGGCATTGGACGAATATGCAAGGAGAGTAGTGGCGAGTAGAGGATTCAATGCGGAACACCCAAGCACCGCGTTCAGTGTAGCACTTCTTAGCTGGCTGATCCGTTTTGACCCTTTGACGTCAAATCGAATGTGTCATGACAGCTTGCCTTCAGGATAAGGCCCTTACAAGGATATAAGACGTAAGCTGCTATGCCACAATTTGTTTCATACCAAAGTCTGTGTCGAGTCATCTGGCAAAGAATAATAGCTGGCTCGCGAGCAGCGCCGCGCCTTGAACGTCATGAACCACACCCGCTGAGCGCGGCGGCTAGAGATCATATAGACTGCGGAAACAAACACTGAAGATGCTATATCCAGGGCACGCCGGCCGTTGGGTCCCCAGCGAGGGGACGTATTTGGTAGCTAGAGTGAGGGAAGTCATATTTGCCCTTGAGAAGAACGAATGCGCTATACCTTCCACTAGGTCGAAGGCAGTTTTTAGATAAAATGAAGTATTTCCGAAAATAAGCTTTGAAAAAGTGTTAGGAAGTTAAGGAAATTCATGGAGATCCTAGGTATTATGGGGGATGGGAAGGGAGAGCCTGATTCGCAAACATTTTCGCAAGAGTACCCTCACTATATCACTCTCAGAAACCCATCTTCCTTGCGACCGCGCTATTGAAGTAATCCGACAGCTTTGGAAAAAAAACCCAATGTATTCATTCCATGAATGAATTCAACTACGTTATGTTAAGTTTTGGACATAAAGGTATGTCCAGCACTCACAGTAGGGTTTGTAAAGAGAAGAAAATGCTGCATATAAAGGGGTCATGTCATTGAGAGATTAATTTCATTTTCAGTTAAGGTCTTTATCATCTGGATCGTTCCTCATCGTTTTTTCAATAAGAAACAATACAACAAATGATCTCATTGATTGGACGATTACCGCCAGTCTTGTGCCATCAACACTGACAGAGCCAAGTAAGGAGATTTTTCTCGAAGAGACTTGCTTGTGTCTACAGCGACAACTTGACAAGTTTAATATCAAAATGATTTTTCAGGCGGGGGATCTCTTTCCCAAAGCATTGCTGTGGAGAGTCTATCACCTGGAGAAGAGTTTTCGTCAGAACTGTTTTTCCCTGAACCTCACCTCAAGCTGCCATTAATTGTTCGACTGAGCCTCAAAAGGTGAGTGCAAGTGACTAAAATGCTGCTACGGTTGGTTGCTACGACCACATTTCATCCCTGTCTCACTGTCGCCTCTGCCTAGAAATGGGTTATGAAAAGCCAATTCCTAGGCAAAAAGCCATGCATATAAAGCATACATTATACATTTTTTTAAGTGCCGCCCACGAGTTCATTCAGCCCCCATGACACCGCCTCGTCGAATGGGGACAATACCAACTTTAGGATGGGTGCGCTTAGTGAGTCCGCAATCGGTGGCCAGTTACTTTTGAGAACCCGGCTTGGACCCGTCACCTTTCGATTCGGGCGAAATTCGCTTGGTGGCCTCATTTTTGGCTTCTGTTCCGTAAAGAAATTTGGTGTGTCCCAAAACTGAATTTTTATAAGGCTGTTGTTATTTCAGGACATTCAACATAGATGACGAGGTCAAAATGCGTCATA